AGATTCCCAATCCTTGATACAAATGTCCACAATCTTCTTCACCTTAAGCTTTAGCTTTATTTTTATTTATTTATTTATAATTCGGTAAAGGACTGAGCAGATACAGAACAACTCAAACTACTTATTTTCTGCAAGTCCAAATAATTAGACAATGCATGTTGAGTCCAGCTAAATCAACCCTGGTTTATACTGGATAACCCAAATCAAGATCCTGAAATTACACTTGGATGAGGATCATGCTTGAACAGTAAAATAGTTTTGGGGGAAAAAGCATCCAGGAAAAAAAAAAAAAAGCATTTCCACTTAACCATGCAAGGAATGGGACAGAAAAATATAGAAATATATTTACCAGAGGAAAGGCTTGGCTCTATTAGTTTGGGACTGAGGAACAGTTTCTATGCTGGATAAAGATTTATTGCACAAATCTTTGTCTAGTATTGTTGCACAGCTGGCATGGTCATTAACCAGATGCATTAGCTATTGCACTGGTTTTCCAACTTGCTGCAACAACACGCATAAGTTGGGTTTCATGTGATTGAACTCAGCATAAAAAGCTACCATCACTGTTTCCACTTTGACTCACACTGGGGAGCACTCTAAATAACCTCAGATTCCCTTTCTGAACCAAAGATTAATATGCTTCAATAATAATGTTTTGTCTGTTGGTCTTGATTAGCTCTACATGAATTTGCTGTTAAATTGTTTATTGTTGATTCCTACATTTCTAAGGATAGCTAAAGGACCACTAGGACTTGTGTCACAGTTGGAGAACAATGAGGTTACATATTTTACAGCCCACTTCCCTCACAAAGAGCATGCTTCTTCAATTAAAAATAAAAAAATAAAAACTAATCATATTTCTGGAGCTTTCACGCAATGTTTATGTGTTTGTGAGTCATAACTAAAATATCTGTCTGGCCCAAATCTGCTCTACAGTGAACAAAAGTCGACAGACAAAGAATGTAATATTAACAATCAATTCTCATTGTGTAACGTCTACAAGGTTGTGTTGAGATTTTTCAAACAGGAGCCCTGAAGTGACCCCAGTTCGAGGGGCTTGAAGTGAACACGTGTGGGGATGCGTCGCGTCCTGCAGAGGGTACGTACCCTCAGGGAGGAGCATGTCTGGCAGATTAAGCCAGCCATCATGGGAAACGTCTGCTCTGCTCCTGACCGATTTCACGTGACCTGATTGAGCAGTCAAAGCGCTTCATATGCTCCAATCACCACAGAAATGCCCAGAGGCTGATCACCTCTTGCATTTAGAGCCTCTTGCCCCTCATGTTAGTAATTAGTCATACAATCAGCCCCCTAACAACCCCACCATAAATCGCAGAGATGTTTTCCGTCTATGCTGAAATGTATTAAGTCTTTCAGTTTGAAGCTTATTGTAAAACTCTAGCAAGCCCTGATGTATATACACGTGCACTTCGCTCGCGCTTCCTTGACTTTTCAACTACTTTAATTGCTTTTCTGCAGGTCAGTTCTAAATGTCCTCGCTGAACTACAAGACTTAGTCAAAATAAAACTCTTTTCCTGCAAGTGGTTTACGGTAATCTTCAAAATATGACAAATACACAACCTTGATTGCTTCTGTTGTTATTTTGTTTCTTTTTGTTTTCTTCAGAAATCTCCTCCTGCTTCATTTATTTAATCAAGATCACTCAATGGAAAGTTTGGGAACTTTTCTTTTAGAATGATTTGAAGATTATAATACTGATTGATTTTGGATAAACTGTGTAATTTAACATTGCCTTGTCGGTCTACACATGTAGCCAAACCAAAGGATGTGACCGGGTCTGGCATGTCCTTCCTGTGGTGACTTTTAGGGTGATGCCGTGTGTTTTTTCGAGTGTCAAAGGTCACAGGACGCTCAGAGGGGCAGGATTTCCTCCTTCAGTCTCCACATTTTAAAGCCCAGCTCTGCACTCTTGACCATGTCTTTCCTGCCACCCATCTGACTGAAGGGGAATGTTGAGTTGATTTTCTTGCGTCCAAGGCCACATGAGTGGAGCCTTTATTTGGGCTCACAAAGGCAGCAGTGTTTGTCCGAAACCTTGAACGTAAAGCTGGGAGTGAGCTCCTATATCTGAAGAATACGCCTTTCAGGTCCTTCCTCAATTACAAAACAAACTATATAGTCAATACTAATCATATATTTCAGTCTCTACAGGTTTACATATGCTGTATTCTGAATGGTAAAACTATAAAAAGAATAAATATGTACATATCATTATTGAATAACCTTTACATTTCAGACCTTGAGAGCATCCCAGCAAGAATCAATGCCTACATAACGGTCCTAAATGAAGACAAATCACTGAAAAGATTTAAAGTATTAATGTACAACCATATTAAAAAAAAAAAAAGAAAGAAACACAAACTGGATTATAGCAGTCCAGCTTTTTCTAATTACAAACAAGAAAGTTCAAGTATGAGTAATACAAAATGTCACACCGACACCTACCAAAATACACCCATATTTGCATTCTCTTTTTTCCCCCTGACCTATTTCAAGCCTGCAAAGTGACTGCCGCAAAAAATAAAAATAAGAAATACCCCACCTCCCCCTTTCACATTTCCTTTTGCTTCCTTCTCTTCTCCTCCTTCAGCTCTTTGATTTCATTTTTAGGTCAACTTTGAATATCATAACGCCTGATATTCCTTTGATTGTGCATCGTCTGCCATGTCAATTGAAATTATTGATGTTTGTTGAATTTATCAGATAAATCACAACCTGGGGATTTTGTCAGCGCGGATATTTATATTCTCAGAAAAGATTATTTTAATAGACAAGACTGACAAGTGGCGATACTTATATATGGATGATACTTGGTTCTGAAACACTGTACATTTGGTAGGTGTAATATCTCAAGGGAAAAAAGCAACAGCTTTTTGCCATTTTGTGAAAAAGGCAACTTAGTAAGCATGTATGATGGTCTACATTAAACAAATAAGCAAATGTTATTTTGAAAAGATTTATAGCAATACCACAATTATCCTCAACACAAAAATAAAGGTCGTATTTGTAAAATTGTCTTGGTATTTTGTATAATTAACCAACTTTGAGTAGAAATGGATTTGTAAGTAGTTTTTAAAGTAAAAATTTATTTGGAAAAACTGTTTTACAGTTGAATAGGGCATATGCACTGGGCATAAGGGTTTGAAATACACAGTGTCCAGCTGTGCCAGATCACCTGTACATGACATCTGATTTATTTACTTTTGTTTTTCTTTGTTGTTTTTTTTCATATTTAAGGAATATGGGGATTTAATTTCAAAACTCTATTACAGTCCCAGGGTTATCATATAGCTCAGTTAATCAGAAAATAGATCATGACGTTAGTTCCACTTCCAGTATGAAGCATCCAGCATCCGGAGGTGAGGGAATCTTCACAAATGCAGACAGAGATCTCTTGGGTTTTGATTAGATTCACTAATGCTATTATTGAGACATTGTTTGGATTTTTCACTTGCATTTGTGTAAGCTCTTCAACACATGCAAGTAATAAAGGAACTACATTTACATATCAGTTTTTTGTAAATAAACTGAATTTATTTAAATAATATTTTTCCATGACTGCATTTGATAACTAAATCATACAACATACAAATTTGTTTTTTTAACTGTAGCTATGTCTTGACAGTACAGCTTAAACAGAGATGACTTGTTACCATATTTGTTGGTAATAAATTGAGTATTTATTACCATATTTTCAGGTAATAAATAGTTAAGGGATCATTTAAATGTTGAAATGCACATATTTGCACATATTTCATACTAAAAAGGTCTTAGAATCTGTGAATAGATATGTCACACAACAAATAATTCACATCTGTTTTGCAGTTGTAACCGAACCCCTGCCATTTCCTTTTGTAGCTTTATCACTCACTCCATTAAATAAAACATGGAAGCGGCTACAGATGCTACAAAGGATAAAGGCATTTTTCTAAGAGTACATATGGTGGCTGGCAAAAACTAGGATAAAGACAAAACAATGTATGCTTAATTTCTAGAGCTATTCTTTCATCAATCTTCTTTGATAACCCTACTAAAAATGTCCTCCACCAAATTCCTGAGAAAAAAATTCTGTTTTTAACAGAAAATAAAAGATATGGTGGATAGCGTGCTGCAAGGTCTGGTCACCTATCAGACCGAGACAGACAGTTGCCGTGGGAGCCAATGCTGGTTTTTATGCTGCTGTCTGCCATCAGAGAGAATAATTTAGTAACCTTACAGAGAACATTTTGCCAACTAAATGAGGAAGTCAGCAGTTATTAAATTGACTTAAATGGGAAATTTGTTCAGGTAGGGCCTAATGATTTAGTTAAGTACAGGAAACAGTTTTAGTTTGGTTTTAAATGGGAAAATTTATTATATTCTAAATCCTACTATTAATTTTAACCAATCTGATTTAGCTTCACAATAACGTTAAAAGATGAAAAACGGGGCTCTTATTGTGATTAACTGCTTCCCTCTGGTGGTCAGTTGATGTCACTACATCATGTCTGAAAAGCATATCTGATTAAACTGGCTCACAACACAACTTCATAAATGTTAAAGAAAAATATTTCCCATTTTAAATTCATGTCTGTTCATTAATGTCCTAAGATATTACTATGAAAAACAAATGGCTCTTATTTTGACATGTAAAAATACAGAATAAATCGTTAATGAAGAAAAAAAATTGCTGTTTAAAAAGTAGCACAAGTCTAACAAGGTATTAACTGATTTATTAGTCAGGTTATCTGCTCCGGAAGCCAGCTTTCAGTCAACTGATTAACAAGAAAGAAACTTCCCAACTTTTTATTATTTGTGAAAAAAAAGTATGTTTTTTTTCACACATTCTATCTCAACATTACAACTGACTTTATCTTTAAAAACATTATTTTGTATTAGTTTTTCCAGACGTGTACCCTTTTCCTTTAAAGGTTTCTAAAAATAACAATCATTAAAAATGAACAGTGAAATATATCAGACATTTACTACACAAAGACAGTTGTGATTTTTACAAATTTATTTCTTCCAGTTTGATCATTCTCACAATCAGCTCTGACTGTACAAATCCCCAGACAGACTCGCTTAAATAAATCTGCAGCGTTAAAATGTTTCGCAGATGCGCTTTTTTAAATGATTTTTTTATTTTTTACTAACGTGTCCTCTTTTGTGCTACTGGTTTGCAAAAACAGTTAACTGTGATGACCTGCAAGTGCAATCCCCAGTGCAAGACATGCAATGATTCACGCCGTTACCGCACTTGTAAAACTTCCCAGTTGGAGCATCCTCTGTGTGAGAGAGAACATGTACCGTTTGTTCAGCTGAAGCCAACCTCAGTGTCGCAAAGACCAAATTAAACATGCTTCACAGGCTCATGTCATGCTGAGATGTTTCTGTTGTAAAGTGAACTGAACTGTGTTCCGGTTTTCTTTTTGAGATGCAACACTACTGATAAACAAACATGACTGATGACACGCACACTAAAAAGGGTGCAAGCTACGAAGTTTCACGGCCACAATCGTTTTATTTCATGTTCAAGTCCCCACAAACAGCTCCTGGTTCAGCAGCTGCAAGGCCTCTTTTCCCTGCACGTGATCGCCCGTCACGTCACCCTGTCTCACATTGACAAACATCCATTCTGTCCTTCTTCTGCAAAGGCACCGAGCTCGTATGACGACTGCGGAAAGCGAGCAGCCGCCTCACCGTTTTGCATTGTCACACCGGCTTGCAGGATCGGGTGTCCTCTCCTTCGACGTCGCTGTTCGGATTTGTCGCTTGCACATCTGTTGATGGCCGTAGCATGGCAGTTCTCGCTTTTCACAGATTTTAAGTAAAAAGAAAAAAAAAAAAAAAGGTAGGTGTTGACTTTTCAGTGGATTTCAATATGAACCTGTGAAGAGATAAAGTATTTGTTTACATTTCATTTTGGAGGTTATTGCGGTTTTAAAAAAAAAAAAAAAAAAGAGTGACAGAATTTTGTAAACCAACTTCATGCAAATCCATGATGTTTAAGTGTTTTTAAGTTTAAGAATTTCAGTCATTATTAATTATTTCTTTTTTCAAAACAACAACAACACAAATGAATGTAACATATTAAATGAAAACCAGTAAGTTTTTATTTAATTTTAATTAATTTTTTGGTAACCTTTTTTTCAAAATGAAAGCATAATATAACAGCTAACTCCAATGATCTTTAAAGGCATGAAATGAATGAACGCTTTTCCTCATTTCTATTCCAATTTAGTTAAAATTGTTTTATTATTATTATTATTATTATTTGAAAAGTTACTTCAAAATGTTTTAAAACACAGTCTTTAAATTTTCCATGAGACTAAGGTGGGGCTGTGGAAGGCGATTCCAGAAGCATGATTAATCCATTCCAAAAACCAGTTTTGATGTTAGGACTCATTGCTGAGTTTTAACTAGATGGAAATGGGTTAAAACATTCAGGACTACACAAGTACCAGCCAGGCTAAAGAAGGTTATGAAATAAAAAAAAAAACTGCTGAAAAACCAGTATGACTACCCAATTAAAGTCTTAAATAGGACTGAGATAGAGTCAAGGAAGAAAGAACCCCTTTCTCTAAAACTGGCACATTCAAGCTCTACTGAAGTTTGCAACTACACCTGGACAAACCAAATGCTTTCTGAAGAAGCGTTTTGGCCACCACTTTTAGAGAAGCTAAGGTGAAGCTCTCAGTTAGAATACAGTTTCAACTGGTGTTGGCAGCATCATGCTGAGGGCCATGTACTGATGGCACATTTCAAGCATCGGATGAAATCCTGAAACTCATTAGCTTCCCCTCAGCTCTACAACTAGATGATGAAAAACAGGACATGATCGGATGTTAAAACACCACAAAGACACCAAAACACAGAACAAACTGCGGATGGAACAGGCTAATGTTAGGCTTCTGAAATGGCTCCCACATCAGAACCAATAGCAATTTGTGGACTCTACTTAAAAACCAGGATTACAGAAAAACTTCAGTAAATTGAAACTTGTGGATGTAATTCTTATTCTTAAAATTAAATGACACGTTCTTTCATTAACGGACCCCGAAAACACTGTTAAAAGAACATTAAAATTAATTTATAACGTACATTTATAACCAATAATTTGGTTCAGTGTAAAAAGATAAGTTAAATATATCTTAGAATTAAGCATATCACTAAACAGAACAAAGGAAATATCTTACATCCCATACTGCAAAAAGTTGGTGTTTCGCAATTACATTCATATCCTTACGTGTTTATAACAAGAAATTGAATCAAAAAAATTTGCAAATCATTATAAGAAATTAAAACAAAGAGTATAGATTAATTAAACTACAGCCAGAACTTAAAGCAAATACAACTTTAACTTCTACTAATCTAAGATGAATTGAAAGTTTAGCTTCAATCTGCATAAAGGAGACACTTCTTTAAAAGCTCAGCAGACATTGAGTCAGCAACCACAACGACAACACAAATTCAACACCAAGGCCTTTTTAGCAGCTGTTGGCATGGTGACGAGCAAAGCAGGACTGACAAACCAGAAGTTTTGGTATACAAGAAGAAAGTAAGAGACTACTTACTTGGAGTCTTACATTAAACACCATAGAAGCGACGAGGTATATATAAGGAAATCTGATTCTCAGCCGCCATGCCAGATCAAAAAATATCAACAAAGTCCTCGTCAAGCCTTTGCAAAACACTCCGTACGTCCGACCAGCGGAGCCCGAGAACCGGAGCACTAGGTACGACAGACCCGCCATATAGGATCAGTCTGCCCGGCGCTACGTTGGCTTATTAAGTCAACTGACAAGGCGATGCGATATAAGCGGTAAATGGTGTGAAATTCTTCATTATTTCTTATCGCTGACTGACACCGAGCTCCATTTTTGAACATTAGGTGCTGGCAGGGCTGCTCCACCCCGACAGCTTCTCCGAGGAGGAGAGAAGAGGGTGCGACACACGGAAGAGAACGGCTAATTGGGTTAATACGCCCCGAGTTTAGACTCACAGGCACGTCCAAAAGCGCGTACACGAAATTGATTGACAATGCTAAGACCCGCCTCCTGGCCCCGATTGGTGTAGGTCTGCAAACGACTGAGGGATCACAGGGAGGAGACAGAGGAGACAGATTTTTTTTCTCATATTATTCTGTCAGGAGGACACAGTGACAGTTTTAGGTAATATTGTGGAAGTCAGCAGAAAAAGACGAAAAAGTGATTTGAGTCTTGTTTTATTCTCAATGTCTTCCAACAAAAACCAAAAAATGGAATGAATAACAACCATTGTATATACATTTTATCAGCCATAATATGTCAAAAACACATTTTTATAAAAGTTACCTATTGCAGCTTTAAAGGTAATTTCTTTTATCTGCTATACTGATGATAATAATGCTATTATTTCCCCAGTGTTATTGACAATCCATGTGTAATTCGTTTTCCTTGTTTTATCTGAACAGTAAGATGTATTCCTATTCTCCAATTTCAATTTCTTGATGCATCTGTGTAAATCTGCATATTTTTAATAAAATTTTTGCCCAATTCTATGTTGCAGACTTCTCTTTGATAAAAAGTTCTTTATCCAGTTAAATATTTCCCAGTAATGCCCAATTTATATATTTAATTAACAATTAATCTATGCACAACATAGCACATGCTTTATCTGCATTAAAAATACACAACAGCAGTATCCTTTCTTATTTAGATAATATGTGAATCTGTAATTTAAATGTTTTTTCCATTATTTTACAAATATCATAAGTTAATGCAATAATTTTCTGGTTTCACCTGCAAATTTGATATTTGCATGTGCAGTTTTTTATTTTTATTTCCGTTTTAGAAAGCACCTTTAAGACACAACTTAGGAAATACACAACTGAACGAATTCCATTGTAATTGGTGAAGAACGTCACTTCCTTCCCCGTGTCACAACCTAAATCGTCCGTCTTTTAGATTTCCTCACAAATTACAAGTGTAAGCATTTTATTTTATTTTAGTGAATAAAAAACATTTTTTTCTAGCCTACACGTTTTTGTAAAAAAATAAAATAAAATAAAAAAGTGCATTTCTGGTTGATTGTTTCTTGTGAGCATGCAGCGAGTTGGAGTGTCTGAGGGCGTATCAGGTCGGTGTACCGGATGCTCCATCTGCTGGTGGCTGACTTCATTTTTTTTCTCAGGGGTGGTGGCCGCTGTTTTGCTCCATAGCTCCCATAGCGAACTCACGAAAGCATGGGAATGTTGCGAGGAGATTTCTGAGGAAACTTGAGATAAAGTGTATAATAAGTTAGCGTAAGTTGCTCAGACGGTGTTTTAACATCAGAGGAGCTCGGCGGTAAACACCGGAGGCCGTCAGCGGGAGCCTGTTGGGACGTTTCTCCAGCGAGCAGTTCCGGACAAAGGAAAAGAAACCTGAGCTAAAGCTAGCTGGCTCTCTTGGGCAATGCAGGCCATTAAGTGTGTCGTTGTCGGGGACGGGTAAGTGAACATAACCGGGCTTTCTAAAAGTTTGTTTCTACCATTTTCTATTTGAAAGGTAACGTGTAATATTAGCTTAAATGTTGTCACCAGACTGGCTAACGTTAAATCACTTTGCTTCCCAGTTTTTCATACGGGCAAAGTTAGCGTCCAAGCTCTAACTACCTGTTAATCTGTACCGCTTGAATATTGCAGTTTACTGAAACTTTTTTATTCCTTATTTTGACTTACTTGACATTCGAGTTCATATATTCTGTGTTGGCATAGAAGAAGATGGCTCATTATTTCCTTTGGGTTTCCACATACTTGGTGAATCAGTCAGACTTAATAGCGTAGTTTGTTTATTCAACCTAAACCCGTTTTTTTTTCTTCTTCTATTGTCTTGGTTAATGAGAAACCCAAGAAACCGGGATTCAATTGTATTGTCTTCTTCGCACCTACGTTAACTTGGGGCGTGCTTTCGTTTTCCTAATAAATGAGGTACCAATTTAAAGTAGAGGATTGGCCAAGACTACCAGTCAGAAGTGTAATAGTATGTGGGAGGTAAACATGCGCATATAACCTCTTGATCAGGGTGTGGTGGCAACCACACAGCAGTCATTCAAGGGACCTTTTATTGAGGCGCTTTTTTCGATTCAGATTAAAGGGGAAGCTCAAGTTTCGTAATTGGGAAATATCTGTTCCCCTGGGAGCTGTGAATGTCTTACAGGAACTGACCCCTGTCTGGTTTGCATTGAAAGTTTTCCTGAGATCAGGGCTCATTTCTGCCTTGAATCTTTCTCTTTTTTTTCGGTCGACATGATTTGAATTTAAATCGCGTTTTTGTTATTTCGGTTAATATTAAAGTAGTCATAAAAATTAAATGTGATCATGTGAACAATTTTATTATTTCCATGACTCAGGTGTCCATAATGTAATAATCTACATTGATTTACTGACATGTTTTCTCTTGTTTATTATCCTTAACTGTGCTATTAATTTTGCTTAACTAAGTAAAAAAAAAAAAAAAAATCAATGATAATTTTATTTGTAAATCCAAGGTTTCTACACAAACTTAAACTACAGCGTTTTCTTTTAGCAATTTCCAGGTCTGGACAAATAGTGGAGACTGAAACTTGATTCTGTAAACATTTTCAAGTTTCCAGATTTTTTTTTAATTTTTTATTTTATTTTTTTACATTTTTAAATTTCTGATTTGCCAAGACTATTTTACATAAATGTTTATTTTGATGCATCTTTTTAACTTTAGCACATATATTGCAGGCTTGGGACATGTTTTTTGTTTAAATCATATAATTTCTTACATTTTAATTATATTTGAACCATTTTCCTCCATTAAAGTTACTCATACATGGGTTCTTTTTTGTGTGCTGTATTCCTTAAAAGAAAATAAAATTAGTTCCATCCAATTTTAAAGAAAACAAGGCATGTATTAGTTAGGAGTTGCATGTTGGGTCAGTACATCAGTGTTTGAGTTAAACCCATTGACTGTTTTGACTTTTCTTTTGTTACTGAGTCAGTGCTAAATGATACATCCAGTTTGCTCTTTGTTTGCTCTCTTAAGTTACTGAGTTTAAAAGTTGACCTATGGTTTAAAAACTGAATCTGGTGCAGACCCCAAGGAGGCACTGAAACCACTGCTTGATAAATATTCTTAATAAAAAAAAAGTAAAAAATAAATAAATTTAAAAAAAAAGCTTGTAGATCAAGTAAGTTAGGAAAAGTGCATAATTTTGAAATTTTGAAATTTATAGAAACTTGTGAACTTTATGTTAAATAATTTTAGATGTTTGGATTTAAAAAAGAGCAACTTTTTTAAATTTTTCTTTTTAAAAAGAAAATGTTAGGGGGAAAAAAACCCTTAGGGATTAGGGGGGGGGACCCCAGTTAGCTTAAGATTTAAGGCTCTAAAACAGGGGTGTCAAACTCCAGTCCTCAAGGGCCGCTGTCCTGCAGTTTTTAGATGTGCCACAGATACAAACCGCTGGAATGAAATGGCTTAATTACCTCCTTCTTGTGTAGATAAATTCTCCAGAGCCTTAATGACCTAATTATTCTATTCAGGTGTGGTGCAGCAGAGTCACATCTAAAAGTTGCAGGGCAGTGGCCCTCCAGGACTGGAGTTTGACACCTGTGCTTTAAAATGTTTAGATTAGTTGGTAATGCAGAACTGCTCTGACCAGTGAGTTTATAGCAGGATTTTCTTGTTTTTTTGTTTTTTTTTTGTCTTTTTCCCTAATCATTGATCAAGTCTCTTCTCATTTCCAGTGCTGTGGGTAAGACATGTCTGCTCATCAGCTACACCACCAATGCCTTTCCTGGAGAGTACATCCCCACAGTGTGAGTGTCAGAGACTGCAGTGCAGTTTCTGTTTATTTATTTATGACAAACCTTGCTGTCCATCATGATTCTCCACCCTTTGTCTCTAATGCGGCCCGTGAATCAATGAGGCGACTTCTTTACTCCGCTGTTGTTTTTCTAACTAGAAATTGTCTTGGTTCTATGCTTGAGGTAATGATCAAAGTAGCAGACTGTAACTGAGATCGAAGAGAGCAGATATTACTGGATGTAATGATGAGATTCTGCTCCTTATCCGATCAAATGTATGTTTTTTTTTTAACACTGGTTTCTAGAGAAGTCGCTAAGGTACTTTATATTCAGGTCCTTTTTCTCAGAAAAAAAATGTAGTACATGATTTTCTCTGGAAAAACATAAAGAAGCTACAGAATTTATGTTGATCTATTCATATTTCGATTTATGGTTTTTTGCTTATTTGCACATCATCGTTTTCCCCAGGTTTGACAACTACTCCGCCAATGTTATGGTGGATGGGAAACCAGTGAACCTGGGCCTTTGGGATACAGCTGGACAAGAAGACTACGACAGACTCCGCCCACTCTCCTACCCACAGACGGTACAAAACAATATTATAATTCACTTATTAACCTTTGTGAATAATCCACTTGAAACGTTTGGGTGAAGACGGCAAACAAGGAAGTTTGAAAGAAGGAAGAACACACATTTATAAGAATAAGACTTTACCGTAAAAGAAAGTCTTGGGCTTTGATTGCTCTACTTCCTTTGTCTTGTCAGGATGTGTTCCTTATCTGCTTTTCCCTCGTGAGTCCTGCCTCGTTTGAAAACGTCCGTGCCAAGGTGAGAAGTGTCCGTGTGAACAACATGGAAGGTTTTTACAGTGTTTTACTACAATATTCACTTTATCAACTTTTTTACAAATCTTTTTTTCATGCTACAACCGCGGTTTACATTTTTTATTGGGATTTAATATACAGAACAACACACAATAATGGGAGGAGATTGAAAGTGGTTTTCAAAATTTAATACAACTAATGTGAAGAGATTATCTATTTATATTAGCCTCCTTCAATTAACATGTGTATCATTAAAGAGTTTGTTTCCATTTTGTAAGGCACAGTAGGACATCTGCATGTAGCAAGTTTTAGGAGAAGAGAAGCATTAGGACAGTTTGCATCATAACTTAACTGTAGGATCAGTTGGTGAGCCTGATCCTGCAGAGAATGACTTACCATGCATCTTTGTTGCCTAACTAATCATTTTCAAGTAGTTTTAGACAGAAACAGAATCTTACATGCACAACATCTTTCAAACTGGTGCTTTTGTTGTTCTATTCTGTGAATTATCAAGCAATTAAAGCAACAAAATTGAGGCTGCTCCCTTATGCCCCTATGCAATAACTATAGAAAGCACTTGTATATGTTTGCTTCAAGTCCATAAAGTATTGGATAGTTGTTATAGTCAATTTAGTTTATTTATGTAAGGCTAAATAAACATTTATTTGAAAGTCAAAAGTTCCAATTCATTCAATCTAGGTCATTTCTATACAGTCGTGTCTAAAGCAGCTATAAGCTCTGATCATCAGTGTTTCTTTCCTGTCACGGAGTGAAGATGGTAAACAATCACTCACTGACTCTTCACAAAATGAAATGTTTCTTGTATATACATAACATACAAATGTTATTTAAAAGTTACATAGTACCACACTAATTTTCAGCAACCATTATAATTTTTGAATGGGTATTTTTTAAATTTTTTGTTTTTTATACTTTGAATGTTGCTTAACTAGACCTTTGTGTTAGCCCTCAAACTAACTTTTAACATGATAAAAATCTTGTTCACTCACAAAGTAATAATCTTTTTACTGGATAACAGTCAGCAGAGGCCTTGTATTGTTGTAATAAAAGCAAATATATCGTCGTCACCTGTTAATGAAGGACACTTGAACTGAGACAAATAATTGAATTGTTAAAAATATTTCTTCCATCTTTGTTACATTTTCAAAACCAAGTCCTTAAAAAGATCAGGATTGTGTTTTTTTACAGTAAATGCATTTAGTATTTCTCCTAAATAGAATGGTATAGCTGAATCTTCCAGACATTGTGCCTTAGGGATCTTTATTGTACTTTGGACAGTACTTTGGACAGTACTGCCTGCTTGCAGACGTGGATCACATGATAGTTTGTAAGCAAAGGGAGTTTCTCCTGGTGATAAACACTCAGGAAATGATTATCTGCCCCTGCAGTTCCTCCTCAGCTGTACAAGAAGGGAACCAACACTTGTTTTCTTTTTCCATCTTACCACTACACTACTGCTTTTCTGTTTTTGGCTTAATTCTAATGGTTAGAATTGTATTTACTTGCTTACTTCACACTGTCTTTGCACTCGCATGAGCAGTTTGAATGTTATGTCTGCCCATAAACTGCAGCTATAACAGCCCAAGTCAGGCATGTTTGTGGACATTTATGACCATCCTTACAGATGCACATTTGTGGGGTCTCATGTTGATTGAGATGGTTTGACTCATAATCTCCATTGTAATTCATCCCAAACCTGCTCTGTATTTTTGAGGTCAGGACTCTGTGAGGTCAGTCAAGTTCTTCCACAACAAGAAGACTCATCTGACTCTTTTCAGAATCTTGCCTTGTGCACTCATGCTTAGTCATGTTGGAACAGGAAGGGTCCATCCACAAACTGTTCCCACAAAGTTGAGTGAAGGAAATGGTCTGAAATGTCTGGGTTTGCTGAAGCATTAATGGTTATTTTAAGATAAACTAACATAATAACCACCTCATCATAACCCTCCCTTTACCAAACTTTACACTTGACACATTGCAGCCAGGCCAATGCGGTTCTCCTAGCAGCTGCCAACTCTAGACATGTTTATTGGATCTGCAGCCAGAGAGGCAGAACTCTCCAGAGAAAATGTTTCCACTGCTCTAGAGTCTAGTGGCGGCTAGAAATTTTGTGGTTTGACTCTGCAGAAATCGATGGCCTCTGTGTATTATATGCCTCAACATTCACAGCACAGTACTTTCTGCCTGTGTAACTTTATCATAACGCTACTACTCACTGACTGTGGAATAATTAGTGGTGAGTACATTTTCGGATTTCAAGATTTACTTCATAATACAAATGTTTCTAGAAGCAGTGTGTATGTTTACATGCTGGAGTTTATCCACCTGTGGTCAGGGATGTGATTCAAACTCATAAATTCAATGATTTGTAGGGTTAAAGAAAGACTTTTGGCAATGTGGAAAGTGACGTACACAAAATTAGACCTACATCTGTATGAGATTGAAAGGTGGTTGGTTTTTGTCAAACAAGATAACCAGCTCCGCTTTAATTAAACTTCAGTTGGTTTACCTAGAAAGTCTGGTTCGTTTGGGGAAGTGTGAATGCGCAGTCGAACTCTGATGTGGACCAAAAAGCGAACTCCCAGCTCTCGGTTCGGTTGAAGTGAACTCTGGCGCAGTTCAAATGAATATGAGAATGGCAATCGGACTGGAGACCACTCCAAAAGCAGGAAGCGGATTATAGTGCAGTACAGCATTAACGGGAGAAATGACTCGTGATCTTTTGTCAAAGACCAATGAGAAATCCTACAACTGCTAAAATCTGATGCCACTCTATTCTTGTTTACATTTTGTAAAGAAGGACTTTGCACTCAGTTTCTACTTCAGTTGTTCTTGTTGCAGCCCAGGCGAGGGGTTGAACAGGTTTTGGTTCGTTTGACACAGTGTACGTGTGAAAATGTAGCAAGTGTTGCAACTTTGGTTTCCAATCGAAAAGTGAAGTTTTTAATACTTTTTCAGTGGGCTAAATGAAGACAAAGAAGCTTAAATATGTATAGAAAAGGCTCCACCATTTGTTTTTGTAGTTGCAGCCATAAAGTTTGATACAAGTTTGACACAAAAACAATAAGGAACCTTGTCTATGATTAAATGCATCACCTAAAGAAGTTAAAGCTGTAACTTCCTGTTCTGTAGTGGTACCCTGAGGTCAGACACCACTGTCCCAACACTCCCATCATCCTGGTGGGCACCAAGCTGGATCTGAGGGACGACAAGGACACCATGGAGAAGCTGAAGGAGAAGAAACTCTCCCCCATCACTTATCCTCAAGGCTTGGCCATGGCCAAAGAGATTGGTAAAAACTTCATTGACCTCTTTTTGACCAACTTAGATCTCATGTATTTTATTTTATTTTTTTATAATTCACAACAAACAGAAGTAAATAAATTGCTGCTCTCTGTCTGCGTTCATTAGGCTCCGTCAAGTACCTGGAGTGCTCAGCCCTGACTCAGCGTGGCCTTAAAACTGTGTTCGACGAGGCCATCCGGGCCGTTCTGTGCCCCCCACCCGTCAAGAAGAAGGGCAAGAAATGCTCTCTCCTCTAAGGCCGCCTGCAGTTTGAACGGTTACAGGGGAACATGAACGCTAGCGGTGAGAGGGTGGCTAAAGACACAGGAGAAACACACCAGTATACACTCACAATCAATGTACTTCAGATTCTGTCCTTAAGTGTAGTTCAAGCAGTTTTCATGAAAATAAATCAGATCCAGATTTAGGCGAAGGGTTTGGGCGATTAGCAGTCCTAATAACTCTTTACTGTATAGACAAAACTATGAACTTTTCGAGGCCTTCTAAAACCGATTGGATGTTTTCTAAAAAATGGACTGCAGGTTGTCTTTAATTTCCTCTTCCACCTGTTGTCCACTTTTTTTTTCTTTTTTTTTTTTTTTGTTGTTTACAGTCGGGTTGGTTGTTGTAAGTGGAAATAATATTGCCAAATACATTCTGCACACATGCTGGTTTTTAGCTGAAAATGAGAGTCTAGGTCTGTCGATTCAGATCTGTAACGTTTGCTGTTCGTTCAGCTCCTCCATCAATGGCATTTTTATCTCACAAGTTCACTTCCTCCTTGACAACAAGGAGCATGAAGTAACCTGGAGGATCTGTGCAGCTTCAGATGAGTCCTTGAGTAACATAACCTCCTTACTTACCATCAGTCTGTCAACCCTAGAATGATTAATGACGCCTAAAACAAAACGGGGAGAAGATCAGACACCAACAGTGCTATAACTCCCCCCAAAAATGTAATGAATCCAGTATTTTCTATGTTTCATCTAATTAAATTTGTCGTTTTCTTTCTGCTTTCCCTAAATGTGTCTCAGCCGGACAGCTGCCTGTGATTGCAAACGCTGAAAACATGATTACATATTCTAACAGAAATGTTCGGATGTCTTGGTGATGGGGG